TTTGAACCTTTGTTATTAAAGACGTCCAGGTGAGAGTAAAACAATTGTATGAAACACTAATTAAGATGCAATCTACCGCCCTGCCTATGGGTAGAGATCAGCTGCAACGTCTTACATAACGTACAGCACGTCACACATCCACAGGGTCACAAACATTTAGTCTAATGTGCTAAAAAAAGATCAGAATGATCAAAGTTCGGGATTTTATGCCAGCAGCTTTGGCAGAAACTGTCATGGAGTGTTTCTTGTTTTCAAGTAAGCCTATTTTGTCCTGGCTGCTCCCCAGCGATGTGAGCGTGTACAGTCCCGATGCTCATTACTCAGCCTCCAAAGAGAGATCCTGCCATGAACTCACTAAGATTCACCGCTATCTTTCGACCCCTCAAGGTCCCCAAAGACTTCCTTTGTTCTCTGCCTTGTTGGGAGTTTAATCAGAGCAAAGGTCTCCACCATTGTCCATTAGTAAGTATAAAGTGCTTCACAGCACTTCCATTGCGTATTCCTGAACACTGATTAAATCTAAATGCCTCTCTCTATATGAAGGAATATTTATGATGTTGTTATACCCAGTACTAGAAAGAAAAAAGCAGGTGGTGTTGGATTAACTTTAGACAATACTGGTTTGATGAAACTCAAAAAAGATAACCCATGATTCCTTATAAAACTTTGTAAATTCAAATTTGAGCCTGTGTTGCAGCCAAGGGCAATTCTCCGTCCTTGTGAGGGGATAAGAAAGCTCAGGGATGTAACATTTCCATCTTGGCTAAATGATTGATGGATTCACTGAAGGTTTTTTTGTGTGGTGTCACGTTTCCATCTTTCAGGGACCTGTCAGATCCACTTGTCATACATAAAATGACTGATACAGAGCACATTATGGGGCAGTCACCTTCTACACATGCAAGTCATCTGTCATGTGAATCTACATAGACAGTCTCGAATAAAAAACAATAGGCAGAGATTGTTTTTACAGAAAATTATGTCTATTTGATACCAAGATTTCAATACTGTGCCAATGCTTTGTAAAATTTCACACGTTTCAGATGTTGGTTTACAACTATATCCATATATATATATATATATATATATATATATATAGGCGCAACTGGTAGAGCTGCTGCCTCTCAGCGAACAGGTCCTTGGTTCAAACCCCGGTCCAGGTGCCTTCTGGGTGGAGTTTGCATGTTCTCTCCGTGCATGCGTGGGTTTTCTCCGGGTACTCCGGTTTCCTCCCACAGACCAAAAACATGCATGTTAGACTGATTGGTAACTCTAAAATTGTCCCTAGGTGTGAGTGAAATGGTGAACGGTTGTTTGTGTCGTTTGTCTCTATGTGTCCCTGTGATGGACCTGCGACCTGTCCAGGGTGTACCCCGCCCCTCGCACAGTGATTGCTGGACATGGTCACCAGCGACCCCCGTGACCCAAAATAGAATAAACGGGTAAAAGTTAATGGATGGATGGATGAATATATATATATATATTTATATATATATATATATATATATATAATATATATATGATTGCAGGCAGCATTATATAAAGTTGTTAAAAAATATGTAGTTGAGATAATCTGAAACAGAAAATATAAAATTAAAATTTCTATTTTCATAGCAGTTTAAATGAAATTACACGTTGATTCCCTTCTAGGAAAAATACTATTAGGCTATAAGATTATATAGAAACAAAATCACCTTCCCCAGACCTGGCAATTAGTTAAAATAGAAAAGTTATTTCAGAATATGTCATGCGGTAACAAATACTTTACAATTAAGATCATATGGAACATATTCCTGATTTATCGATGGTGTAATTTGTATAAATAGTCCATCAAATTCCTTGAGGCTTGTGTCATCAGTCCCTTCAGTGCATGCATTTTATTCTGTAGTTCTCAAAGTTTGATTCTGGACCGTTCAGCTAGTTATGAATCATTTTGAGGTTTTATGGTCATCAGAATCTGTTTATATTTTAAAATAATTGATCGATGTTGACATGGATGGATGAACATTGTGTAACAAGCTACCTATTTAGCTCTTATGTCCATGTTCTTCTTGACTATTAGCAATGTTTGCTTGAACAAAGGACAATCTTTGATTGTCTTTACTGCTGTTGTCTTCAGGAACAGAAGCTGCAAAGCTTTGGGACGGCTGGCCTAATATGTGCACTCACAGTTTATGTTTATTGTAAGGCCAGACACAGGATAAATACTGCACCATTGTTGTTGTGTTGGTTCTGGTTGTTAATGTCCAGAAGCATTTCCCAGATGGATGCAGTTAAATACTGACTTGTCTGGGGTTTGTGGAAAGCTCTTTGCATTTGCTGCTCTCTCTGCATTCTGCTCATGCGATCTGAAACCTTTAAAGTCTGGATGACTTTCCTTTATCCATGTCCCAGTGAAACACATAAATCTGCATCTCTAGTATTCCTGGATGTTCATCTCAACTCACCCCTCAGGATGGTTAGAGGCTCCACACCAGATTCATGATTTATTTTTATTTTTTTTCCCAGGCATTAATTGAGCTTTGCAGAGTTAGTTCAATATCATGATCCTACACGTTGTCACATATCTTGTTGCCATAGTTACCAGTTGTAATGGTTATTAAAAAGTGCTAGAAGTATCACCAGAGATCACTCGGGAAGCACACATGAAACAACATTCCAGGACATCCTTGTAAAGGAGATTGATGATCTCAATGCATTTCTTCCTGGTAAAATAAAGAAATAAAAACAATAAAATAAAACTTGTCATTTGAGATTAGTCAGGTTTTTTCACCTGCTTTTCTGCAAAATGGTGTTGCCAACTTAGTGGCTTTGTTGCTATATTTAACCATTTTTTTTTATCCCGTTAGCAGCTTCTTTTGCTATGCAGACGACCCGCACATGTATTTGCCTATGAAGCCTAAAAGTAGAAATCTTCACGTTTCTTTTATTGATTGTTTTGCTGATATAAAACAGTGGTTTTAATCAAAATGTTTCCGTTTTTAAATGAAGACAAGACGGAGTGCATCAGTTTTGAGGATGCTCCTCGTAACTTTGGTGCTCTGAAATACAAAGTTCAGACCCACAGTTAAAAACTTGGAGGTGACCTTTGACAAGGTTTTGAAGCTCAACAAACATATAACCTCTTTAGTCGAAGCCAGCTTTTTTCAGTTACGTCTTTTAACAAAGTAAAGCTTTTTTTTTTTTTTTTGTAAATCGTCCTGACCTGGAAAAAGCCATTCATGCTTTTCTCAGCTCAAGGCTTGACTACTACAGAGCTCTGTTTGTAGGAGTCTCCCAATCCTCCATCAGACATCTTCAACTGGTCCAAAATGCTGCAGCCTGTCATTTCAACAACACTCCCAGATGTGAGAACATCACACTTGTTTTATTTTCTCTTCATTGACTTCTAGTCTATTTTAGAATTTTTTTATTTTTTTGTTGTTGTTATTATTCACTTTTATTAAAGCTCAAAATGGTCTCGCCCCGCCTTATTTATCCGATCTAGTAACTTTACGTAAAATAAGAGCACCTAACACTGTTCAGTCAGGTCATCTGGATGGTTTATTTTTTTGTGCTGAGACGTTTTGCCCTCCATCCAAAGGGCTTCATCAGTCTGAGGAACGACCAAACAAAACTGATTCTCCACCAACAGCATATTCCAAAGTGGGAAAAAAAAAAAACTGGATTGTTGAGCATGAACTTTTGGTGAATATAAGAAAACTTTAAGATCACCTAACACTTCTTTACTGTTTGTTTCAAAGTGAAAAATACCAACGTCGGTGGTCGGACCTTTTCAGTCGCTGCACCTCAACTGCCTCAGAACTTGCATCACTGATCTGGGTCTTTTTATATCTAATCTTAAAACTTTTTTATTTTATTTTTTTACTTAGACAGGCTTTTAATATTTAGTGGCACTCTGACATTTTTGTATTGTTTTTAACTTTTATATTGTGCAGCACTTTGCACACCTTAAGACTGTTGGAAAGGACTCTATAAATAAATGTTGATTGACGGATTGATTGAACTTTTAGCCAAATAAAGGAGGTTGCAATAAATCTAGACAAATTATTCTGGTGTCATTGAAGACTTTTGGACAATCTGGCAGGAAATGATGTATCTATCATTCTAGCAAGCAGCTGGTGCTGCCGTCAGACCAGCACATTCACAGGCCACCCAGTCTTTGCACAGCATCCCGCCTAGCTACGGTCAAAGCAGGAAACAGTCACACATCCAGAACAAAACACAAAGCTGACACTGTCAGGATGTGCACTTGTATGTATTTATTGTTTAAATCAATCACTGTAATAAAGTAACTGTGTCTCTTTTGGGTCACTTTTGCCTAGAGAAGGGACACTTTGACATAAAATGACAGTAATGGACAAAAAAAAAAGGTGTATTTGTAGTTCTAAACATTTAGGGATTCTTTAATCCAATGTTTGCATCACCCACAAAGTTATTCATTTCTCCTACAGCACAGCTCATGGCTATTTATGCTAATTAAGTGATGAAATCATTTAGCACCCTCTAGCAACTTTTAGGGCAGCCAGTATCTGTTTCCCTTACTGAAGAGTTGGCAGCGCCGCCAAACAGAAAGGCCTCGGCCCGGTTGGAAACTTACAGACTTATTGTTAAGAGGCAACAGTTCAAACTGCTTCGCCATGTAGCTAATTGTATTTTAGAGGGAAAACCACGTGGGAATACTTTTTTTTTTTTAATGAACAATAATCCTAAATGTAGGTAACTACAAAGAACAAAGTGAAGATGGATTAAACATTTTCCTCTTTAGCGTTATGCAAAATTGGATAAAGTTAATTTGGTGAATCAATCTTCTGCTTATGTACTGCTGTACACCATTTCATTTTAAAGGAAACAATGAACTTGACATTTTAGTGAATTGCATCATGTAGTGAATTGCATCATTGCAGCTCGAGCCCTTTTACTGTAAACAGATACTGCTGATGCTCTGGTTATTCTACGTTACATTGTATGTGTTCAATACTGTTTCTCTGCTCTCACAGTCCAGTGCCAACAATCACATGGAGGAAGATTAATGGCAACATCCCCAAAAAGGCAAGACTTCGGAAGTCCCAGGCTGTACTAGAGATCCCCAATATTCAGCTGGAGGATTCAGGAACTTACGAATGCAAAGCTGAGAATCCGAGAGGAGGAACTGCTTTCAAAGGGCATCTGCAGGTCTACAGTGAGTCTGAGTCTACTGTCACTTTTCTTTTTTTATGTACAAAAAGAAATCAAACCTTTTTGTGTGTGTGTGTGTGTGTGTGTGTGTGTGTGTGTGTGTGGTGATGTGGTATGCATGCACTGTGACTGGCTATTCAAGCACTCGTGCTCCTATTCCCTACTGGTCTGTTTACATCCCTTTCTTCTTTTTTTGCCTTTGTGCAGCCATCATGCATTATCCAAGAGCGAGCATACATTATCACAAGTGTTGATATATTTATACCAAGAATAGCAGTCTGTGGAACTGCTCTACTTTAAGTTTTTATATTACCGGCATATATCCTTTACTAGTTAAAGTCTTATGAAATTCATTCCTTTGAAATGTGTTGAACAGGCCAAAGACTAATTTTGTTTAAGATAAATAAATAATAGTCACATGATTTATTGCTGATCAGTTGTTCTTTTAATTGGCCAGTGTGGTTTGCCTTTTACACTTTGACCTAAACTTCCTATGCATGGCTTTGAACGCATACAGATGAATTTTAACAACACTTCGACGTTGATATTGAAATAACACATTAGTCATGAAATAAATTGTATAAGGAGCGCCAATAGCCAGGACAAAATGCATTTATTTTACAAAAGCACCATGATTCTATTGCTTTAAGTTCAATTTATTTATATTCTGTATACGTTTAGCATATTTTATCACAATGCCAAGTTCAGTCAATAACTCAATCTTTTTTTATTTGCTATAGTTGGAAATTGTTAATGCACATACGTTTTTAGATGAGCTTTGGTATTATAAAAACAGCTTTCAGCTTTCTATCAAGAAGAGGTGCAAAGAAGGGACTTGGAATCAGTGTTTTTGCTTGTGATCATAAGCTAAACTGGTGCTTGTCTCCCGTTTTTCTTTGTCTGTGCCTTGTGCACCGTAATAAGATAATGGAGTACCTCAACCTTGGTAGGACACATTTCCAAGACCCTACACTTCTTGGCAACCTTCATTCTGTTGACATCACAAGGAGAATGGGGGCCCAATTTGTAGCGGCCCTGCACTAAATGTAATTTACACAGGTCAGCTGGGAGTTTGAACTTTCATTGTGAGGGAGACCTCTCTGACCATAACCGCTCAATCAAACCTCATGAAACACGTTCTGCAGAAAGTGGCATATGCATGGAGAAGAAAAGAGTGTGCTCGGCATGAGAGAAACAGCTCAATACTGAGCGTGTCTATAGTCTACACACACCGAACAAGAAATGCACTACAATGCAGAAAACTGTGCACTTTTAGAAGATGTGTAATTATGTGTGCTGATTTATAAAGGTTTAATTTGGTGGCACTTTAAAGTAGATAAATAAATGTGACAATTTGAAAAAGCATTGGAAATAATGCCAAGTCTATTAAAGTAATTGTGGGGCTCCTTCTTTGTGCTTAAAGTTGATTTTATTAGTCTTGTAACAGGATTCTGTTCAGAGCTGTGAGCTCATTTGACCAGACAATGTTTAAAAATGACATTGTTTAAATAGAAATAGATACAATGCATCTGTAACAAAATGGCTTAAATGTATTAGATGTTTTGGTTTCGAATTAGGCTGATTCGTTCCAAATCTTCTCCCTTTGGGCTTGAGATGACTTCTGTTGAACTGGTGGAACATAAATGAATTTAAATGGATTGAATAAAGAATCAAATACAATATCACAATATTAATTTGGTTATTTTTGATCATCTTAGTTGTTGTGCCCTGGTGGACAGTGCAAAATGCACCTGTTTTCAATAAAATATTTTTTAATTATTAAAAATATCAATGTTAAGAAAAAAATTAAATAAAATTATATATATATATATATATATATATATATATATATATATATATAATTGGATTATTTAAGAAGCCACAATTATATTTTGAAAATATGTTTTTTCTCTTTAATTGTTCAATGTAATATTTCAGATTTGCAGGAAGTGAAATTAATTACAAATAATAATAATGCAAAAAAAAAGAATAATAATACATTAAACATGATGAGTTAAACGGGAAGCAGCACGGTGGCACAACTGGTAGAGCTGCTGCCTCTCAGCAAGCAGGTCCCTGGTTCAAATCTCAGTCCGGGGGCCTTTCTGAGTGGAGTGTGAATGTTCTCTCTGTGCATGTGGGGTTTTCTCCGGGTACCCCAGTTTCCTCCCACAGACCAAAAACATGCATGTTAGACTGATTGGTAACTCTAAATCCTTAGGTGTGAGTGAAAGAGTGAATGGTTGATTGTCTCGTTTGTCTCTATGTGGCCCTGTGATGGACTTGCAACCCGTCCAGGGTGTCCCCCGCCCCTCGCACAGTGATTGCTGGACATGGGCACCGGTGACCCCCGTGACCCAAAATGGAAGAAGCGAGTAAAGGATGGATGATTGGATGGATGGATGGATGGATGGATGGATGGATGGATGGATGGATGGATGGAGTTAAACGGGAAGTGTAACCAGACAGTCCTCTCACAAGAAGGACGAGATGAGCTGCTGGTTCCATGAGAAGAGGACAATGATGGGATTTTAACACGTTTTAAGAAAGAAAAAAAAAACTTTGCTTCAAACTCAGCTGAATTGCATCTTTTAAAGAAAGACAAACTACATACAGTCTGTAAACAATTTAGAATTTGAGTTGTGACAGAAATTTTCTGTAGTGCAACTATGCAGCACATGTGGATGGAGCTTAGAACACAAGGATGTTAGCTGTTTGAAATAATCATAATAAAATGAAACGACAACAATAAAAATATACAAATACAAACTTTAAAATTACAGATAAGATGATGTATAAATGATAGACCAGCCCTGAGGGGAAAGGAAAAAACAAATTAAATATTCATTCATTTAACTTGGATTCATTTACAAAAGAAACCTGATTTCTTAACAAAGAGTGATGACAACAGTGAATAACAACAAAAACAATAGACAGTCATAAAATAGGTATAGGTATACAAATTTAAGTTTCTCTCTTTTTTTTTTAACAAATCAAATCAAAACAAAATAGCAACCAAAAGGACAATCAAGAGGAATAGTAGCAAAAAACAGCCAGATTGTAAGGTGATTTAGAAAACCATAAACAGGAACATGTCTGAATTGGCTTTTGCCAGGAACTTAACTGATGTTTAAAGTCACTTAGAGAGGTCAAGGTCGAGAGCTTCAGGTCTTTTTGCAAGATATTCCAGGAAAGAGGAGTGGCGTAGGAGAAGGCCCTTTTGCCAAGTTCAGACCTCACTGAGGGGACACTGCGTGTAATAATATCCTGACAGCGCACGCTGTAGCTGCACTCATGTAGAGACATGTAGGAGGAGATGTATGAAGGCAGCAAACCAAGAAGTGATTTAAAGATGAAAATGTACCAGTGGGAGAGTCTGTGTGAAGTTAATGATGACCAGTTAACCAGTGAATACAGGGTGCAATGATGGGTACGGTAGTTACAGACAGTTATGAATCTTAATGCACTGTGATAGACATCATCCAGCATCTGCAGAGTGCTTGTAGGAGTGTTCATATAGATGATGTCACCATAATCAATGGAGGCAAGGATGGTCACAATTACAAGGCATTTCCTAGCATTCAGATTTAGACAGGGTCTATTTCTGAAAAAGAAAACCAATTTAACTTGAAGTTTCCTTACTAGATTTTCCACTTGAAACAAAGGAGAGATGCGAGTCAACCAAGATACCCAAATATGTACAGTAATCGCCAAACTCAATAGGGACACCATTTGAGGATAAAATGAGGAAGAACTGATGGGACTGACTTCCTGTTTGAAAAAAAGAACCCCTTTGGTTTTATCGGCGTTTAGATCAAGTTTGAGACGGAACAAATGTTACTGGATGATGTCAAAGGCGGATTGCAAAAGCTGGAAAGCCTTATCAACTGTTTTAGCTCGACAATAAACAACTGTGTCATCAGAATAAAAAAATGAAAGGATGCATCAGGGATGCTTTGACCTACCTTACCTATGTAGATTGTAAAGAGGGTGGGTCCTAAGACTGAGCCTTGTGGCACACCATTACTGACTGTTAGATAACTGGAAAAAAATACCATTATGTTGAACACATTGCCTCCGATCTGAAAGATAATTAGAGAACCAACCATTGGTATGATCTGAGAAACCAATTTCTGAGAGCTTATGACACGAGATGTTATGATCCACAGTGTCAAAAGCTTTAGACAGGCCTAAGAAAAGTGCAGCACAATACTCCTTAGAATCCAATGCTTCAACAATGTCATTAAAAACCTTCAGTGAAGCAGTCATGCTGTGTTGTTTCTTGAAACCAGATATGAAGAATCTCGACATATAAACACTGGATAAGATAAATGATGTGTCATATTAATTTGGAAAAGATTATATATACTCTGAAAGGCTCTGGTGAGAGATTTTGGGACACTTGGAAGCCATTTATAGCTTATATTGAAAGTACGTCAATGACTGCTGTTTGATGTATGCATGTCTGTGTTGCTCGTCCGGTATGGGAGGGTAGTGTGGGAGGGGATTTTGTTGTGTTTTTATTTTTTATTTTGTGTGTGTTATGAAAAAAAGATAACAAAAAGACTAATTAAATATAATTAATCAATATATGTACAATGAATTAATAAATAAGTAATTATTAATCCAAATGCAATAACTGAGTTATTTCTGTTGGTGATTAATGTTCTCATCTGTAGTCCTTACTGGTGCTCCAGAATATCTCCATCTGTGTGCTGTATACTGGTCTGAATTACAGTTTTATTGAATTTGGTAATAAAAGACAAGCCATTTCAAATAAATGTAATGTTTCACATTTATGCCTCATGATACTTTTTTTTAAATATCTGCAGAATAATGTTTTTTCTTCATCAATGAATCACCCAACCCTTGCTGCCCTAGTCTTAAGTGCAGCCTCTCACACTGTTGACAGTGCACTTGTGTGAGTTTCAAGGATAGATTTCTTATTCTGCCATATCTTTTTTCCCCCTCTATCTTGCAGCCCTCCCTCAGTGGGTCAGAATGATTAATGACACTCAGATGGATAGTGGTGAGAAGCTCCAGTGGGAGTGCAAGGCCGTCGGGAGGCCTCGGCCCACCTATCGCTGGCTTCGTAATGGTTTGCCCTTGACATCCCAGGTACCTTCAATACACAGACCCTCGTCATCGTTGATTGCACAATTTATGCAGCATTATCATGTAAAGTATGCCCACTTTCATAAACACTGTTTTCTTGCTTCAGGGTCGAGCTGAGATTGTGAATGGGGAACTGACCATTCACAAAGTACAACAGACGGACTCAGGAATGTACCAGTGTGTCGCAGAAAATAAATATGGCGCCATCTACTCCAATGCTGAACTGAAGATTTTAGGTAATGTTTATTATTGTTCATGTGGACTAAATCAAATTAATTTTAGGAGAAGGTTTGTCTTTCCAGCACTTACTTTTGCCCTTCCACAACCAACAAGACTGACATCTGAATAAAGTACAGGGGGATAGGTAAAGGGATTGAAATTCCAGAGGGGAACGTTGAACTGAGAGATATGCTGATTGCCAATCAATGGTCCCTGATTTAACCCAAGCAGTGGACAGCATGAATAAAACAAGGACTCTCATGGTTATATTCGCTGCTCTGTCTGCACACATCAAGCTGAAGTGAGTCTTGGACATTTTGGTATGTATTCTGATGAGAATATCAACCACTGACTTAAAGGTATAGATTTATACTAATGGAACCAAACACAAGGAATGGCTTCTTTGGTGAAGTTTAATGATCCCATTAGCATCTCATTTGTGCTCAGTTTGCTTTCACATTACAATCCCCTCTACCAAGAAAAACAAACCTTCACTTCATGACTTTTATCAGGTATTTTTTACGCATAGAAACATTTTTATTGTCTGATAATCAGCTCTAATCATAGTTAATTTCCTACTCAGACATAGCACAGTTTAAAACCTGGTGTTCGCATTTCAGCTAAACTAGCATCACATGCAATTGGAAATTTTGGGATACAGAAAGGCAAGAAAGAATAGCTTTTTTTTTAGTCCCGAGGCTTCAGGCTAAAACATAACAGTCATACTGAATAGCTGTCCACTGTTCTGTGCTGATGCACTATTTTCTCCTTGTCATCTTCTATACTGGGACACATCTGGTGATACCCATTCCCCTTTCATTTTTCCCTCAGGGACGACTTGATTTACTGTCTTTATGGCTTGCCCTTTTCTGAAGGGGAATCTGTGGCATTTTGAAAATCTTACTGCAAATGGAAAAAGTTTTTTTTTTTTTTTTTTGTATTTGTGTGTCTACAATTCGAACCATTAAAGTAAAAACAACACTGTTCAGTTAGCGTCGAATAAAGGTGTTTGTCTAGAAAAATTAAAAGTTCTTGAATTTTTAAAACCTGATTTGTTTTGACGAGTAGGTACTTTCGCCTTTCCATGAAGTCGCAGTCACTTTGGTGATATTTGCAAGATGTTGACGAATGTTTTCATAACTTTACCCTTCGGGAACATCTTCCCTGTGACCTGCGCTCTCTCTAGATGTCCTGAAGTAAACACTATCAGGACAGATTACATGACTAATAACAGCCTACAGATGAGCGGTCACTGGAGGCTACATGGGGGCAGTGGTTGCCCTCACATCTCTGATCTTGTCCCAGATCCAACTCTGCTGGGGGTGTGGCGGGAGGGTGAAGGAACATGAGTGCTGCTGCCACCAGTTTTGATTAAAGCAAGTACACGCAGCAACTGCTGTGTTTTCTGCTCCTTGTTGTGCCTTGAGGGACCTCCGCCACTCAGACAACTGCTCAGGCTGAAAGACACGAGCAATGCAGGGAGAGGGGTCAGCCTGTAGCTAATGATGAGATGGAATTGTCATTGTGTATAATGTCACCTAGGAGGCATCATTCAGGATTTGAATAATCACAGTTGACAGAGCCCTGCAGCCGGCACAAAGCCTGTACATGGATTTCTTTTGAAAGACATTAATTGTTTTAAACAATTACGTATTCTTTATCTGCTCAAGCGGTCTAGTTAAATATGGGTTAATAACAGTAAACATAAAGCAGCACAAAGCTATTCAACCATGTCATCGTTAGGATGACATTTAGTTAGCTAATTGGGCAGCACCAAATTGTACCAATAAATAACACAAAATGCATTCACAGTTTGGCAGTTCAAGTGAATATGTCATTATTTCAGTTAAACTTACACTGGAAACTCTAGTCACATTAAAAGTTATGGAGCTGTTTTGATCAAGCAGTAATTATATTCATATTTCATACATCTTTGAGGTGTCTCAGTTAAAACACAATAAGTATTTTATTTGTATTTTAATCATTATTATATTTTTGCAAGTATGCATTTTTTTTAAACTGCATCAAGCTTATTTTTGTTTCACTTTCAGGCTTCAGCAAAAGAATGGGTCACAAAAATAAATTAAATCAAGTTTTGTTGCAGAGAGAATAAAAATCTTGTTTGCACACCCTTTTTTCCTGTAATTAAAGCCACATGAGATAGCATAATCTCATAGATACAAAAAGTCAGAACTTTTGATTCATTATCTGATCACACACCGTTGTTTAAGATCAGTTTCAAAACCATTGCTCAGTCCCACCACTATGTTGGTAGAAATGTTCACAGTAGCTTTAGTCATTTCCATTGTTCCAAGACAAAATCATATTTAGAACTTAATAGCATTCATTTGGTTATATTTTATCCAGTTTGTTTCAGAGATAAATTAGTATACAGTAGTCCTTTGTTACTATGTGGTTCGTTTCTCGCGGACTCCCTCTATCGCAGTTTTTCAAAGTAAGATTGGACTTGACACACAACTATTTGACTGATGGATGAGCCACACAATCAACATGCATTTTTCATTTAAAATAAATTATTATTTTTTTTTAGCAACTGCTGCACCTGTGCACCTACTATATGAGCAGCCCACAACTGCAGGAGAAGCTTCCTCCTGCAGCGTGTAATGAACTCCACTATGCAACAAAGAAGTGGGCGTGGCCAAGATAGCTGGCAGGTGGCAGAAAGCAGCTGGAGGCAGAGAGCCGAAATCATGGCATTCTGTGCTCGTTTAGAGCGTTTAGAGTTTAGAAACATTGTTTAGAATACTGCAAGAGTGTGGGAAGGGT